TTTTGAGTCAAAGTTTATGAATCACATGGTGGGGGGTTCAGACAATCGGCATTGATTTAGAGAATAGTTTATGGGCTAAAGTGTACCTGATGCAAGCTGTGATCTTTTCAATTACTTCATATGCATGTAAAAATTGAACAAGGAATAAGAAAGAAGAATGGGCACCTTTGAACTGTGGTGTTGGAGAAGAGTACTAAACATCCCATGAACAGTCAGAAAAACAAACAAATATGACTTGGAGGAAATGCACTCAGGGTGCTCCTGAGATGCAGGGATGGTGAAACTTTGTCTCAGATCCTGTGGGCATGTTGTCAGGCAGCCGTTGGAAAAATACATCACAAATGGAAAGGTGGAAGGTCAGTGAAAGAGAAGAAGACCTTCAACAGGATAGATTGACACGGTGACTGTAGCAAGGGGCTCAGACATATCAGAGATGGTGAGGACGACACAGGAGAGCGCAAGGCTTGGGTCTGTTGTTCCCAGGGTCACTGAGTCATCATCAACTCCACGGGACCCAACAGCAACAACCACAAGGGGTAAACTTGGGGCTGTACTTGTTGCCTGAACGTCTGGTTTCAAGTGATCACTCGGCCATTCCTTTGCTTCATGTCTCAGGTAAGTTTCCCAAATCTTTCTGTATCCAGGCTTCTCATCCACAGGATGGGGACAATGACACCCACTTGGTTTCAAGGGACAGTCACAAGGTTCCAACGTGACATTAGTAAATGAAAGAAGTACAATAACAGCACATACTCTATAGGATTTCCTTGTTAGCCGCCAACTCAATTCCACCCCATGCACCATGGGATCGGACCACTTCTCATTGAATGATATAAGCAGCAAACCTTCATTCCTACTCTGCCTTAGTCTAGACACTCAGTTGAAATCCTCTCCACCTTATAGCTACACACGATGACTGCACACCAAGTGCATTGATCAGGAATTGAACTTTTGTTTCCTGTGTGGAATCCTACCACTGAATCTCCACTGCCGTCTATCGAGCTTTTTCTTTATTGCTGTGGAATCAGAACCAACTTAGAGCTGACCATCCACTGGGTTTCCAAGGCCATAAAGTGCTTGAAAGGAGATTGCATATCTTTCTCCCTGAGTCTCTGGTGGGTTTGAACTGCCAGAAAGACAGTCTTTGAGTTAGCAACACAACTCTCTATGGACTATACCATCGAGCCTTGTTGTTGTTCTTGTTCTGTCAAGTCGCCTGGCACTCATAGCAACCCTATGTACAACAGCCATAAACCATGCTCTATCCTGTGCCAATCTCATTGTCTCTGACACACCTATCCCCATTACCCAGTCACTGAATCAATCCACCTCATAGAGGGTCTTCCCCTTCTGTGCTGTCCCTCCACCCTCCCAAGCATGATGTCTCTCTCCAAGGACTGGTCCCTCCTTGTAGCATGTCCAAAGTATGTCAGATGAAGCTTCAGAATCCTTACCTCCAAGGAGCAGACCGACTTCACTCTCTCCAGGACAAACCTGTTTGTACTCTTAACAGTCCATGGTATATTCAGTACTCTTCTCCAACACCACAGCCAAAGGCATCAATTCTGCTTCTATCATCCCTGTCATTGTCCAGCTCTCTGACGCATAGCAAGTGATTGCAAAGAGCATGGCCTGTATCAGATGCACCTTAGTCTCCAGACTGACATCATTGCTCTTCAGTACTTTAGAGAGGTCTCTAACTGTAGACTTTCCCATCACAATACATCTTTTAATTTCCTGGCTGCTCGTACCAAGAGTGTTGACTGTGGAGCCAAGCAAACTAAAGCTGTGAACAATCTCAATCTTTTCACCATCCATAATGATGCTGCCAATCAGCCCAGTGGTGAGAATCTTTGTGCCTTAGTAAAGAATAAATGAGCGCTTTTCTCCACTTCTTTACTTTCAGAGGACTGACTCGTCTCACTCTTTGGGACATATATTTTCTGATAAATCTATTTTGCTTTTTTTTAAAGAAATAAAAGAATAAATGAGGCGCCGACTGGATCCCTTAGTACGATGTCTACCAGGCAGTAAGTGTTCAACAAATGAAGCTCTTCTTACTGACAGAGCTGAGTGAAGCTCATGTTGTTCTCATGACAAAGAGCATTTGACCTTGGAAGCATCAGACTCTCCGGCCTGTGAGTTACTGGGCTGCAGCTGGCCCCGGCACTGGGAGCCCCACGTCCCCTGGGCACCTACCTGTCCACAGTGAACTGCCAGTACTCTTGCACAGTCACGGGCACCCAGTGCAAAGAGCCAGTGTAGTAGGATGGGTCGATGGCACCCAATGTGAGCATGCTCCCGTGCTCATTCCTGAAACAAGAAAGTGTGTGCTCACCACTGGCCCAGCTCTGTGAGGGATGCCCAGCCCACAGTGGGGCCGAGAAGACCTGGCCTCAATTTTCCCCAAGGAGCTTCACACAAACTCTCCAGAACCCCTGATGAGTGAGCTGGGCTCACTTCATGCTCTCTGCTCTGCAGCCTCCAGACCCAGGCAGAGCCTGGAGCCCAGCACTCACATGAAACACAGCAGGGGTTGGAGGACAGCCTAAGGGGTCAGGACCCCTAAGGGGAAGTGTGGGGTGTGGGGTGGTTAGAAGGTGCCTATGTCAGGGGAGGTCACACGTCAAAAGACTTACCCAGGTTCTGCCTCAACCACCCTCCATGCTCCCATCAGTAGGGCGGAGGTAAGGCTCTCAAGGTCTCTCATACTTTGGATTAAAGCTGCCACTCAAGCTTGAACCTCTTTGTCCTATCAGTACAGGGTTCTCGGGGTGCGGGGGCAACTCTGCAATTAGCACTAGGAAATTCCCCCACTCCTGCCTCCACTCTGCTGCTCTAAGTTCTTATACCTTATCAGCAGCACCCCACCTCCGGGCTCTTGCATATGTCTTTTCTCCTGTCCAAAAAGCACTGCCCCTCTGCCGCAGGGCCCCTCTATTCCACCTGGGCAGCTCCTATATGTTCTTCCTTCTATATTCAAACCAGAACCAAATCTAATGCTATCAAGTTGATCCCAGGTTGGGTTTTCAAGGCTATAAATCTCAAGGCAAGCAAACTGCCTCATCTTTCTTCCATGAAGCACCTGGTAGATTTGAACTGCTGGCCTTTCAGTTAGCAGCCCAACGCTTAACCCACTAGCCACCTTCTCTGTGAATTCACCAGGCCTTCGTTGCATCTAAACTGCTCTGCAGCACCTTTGACTGACTGTTTTGTTACGTCAATAGTGTACGTAATTATGTCTACTTCCCTGCTAAGATGGCAACGTCTGGCTTATCTTGTTGAATGACGCACGCCCCATCTCCTAGCACAGTCCCTACATAGTTAGAATCCATTAAACACTTACTAAATGAACATTTTAGTGAACATGAACATTCATTCACAATTTATCCACTGTGAGGGTTCCCTTGAGCTCAGCTGTTGAGTCCCTGCTCCTTCTGTCTGTCCTGACACCCATCCCTTTGTCCAAGCTGTGCTGTGTCCTCAGAGGAGGGACCATCCCTTTGTGGGCCTGTTCTTCCCGTGGTGAAAGGAGAGGTTTAGACTCCGTCAGCATCTACTACTAAAATCAATGAATTTCAACAAACGACCAAACTTCAGGGACAAGCTTGGTTTTTTAAATGTCAGACGTCAAAGTCAAATTTCGACCCATTGATTTTGGGGAGTACAAGTGACTATACAGGGGCCATCTGACAAGAAATCAAGTGTATCTTGTGGTTCTCTCAGGAAACAAAGAACACATTTGTTTCTGTGCTGACAACCACTCGTGTCCTCAGGGGTGGAAGCTGCCCTTCGCCAACAATCCTTCTCGGGCAGTTGGAGTCTGAGTCTGGCCCCGGCTAGGAGCCGCTCCTACCTGCTCATGTAAACCGAGAACAGGTCGTGGGCCACCAGGTGCTGGTTCATCATGTTGTCAAACACAGGCACCGAGTACTCAGAGGCAAGAGAGGGGTAGGCTAGCCCCAAGATCCCATCAAACTCGGAGTAGGTGAAGACAAATCCTGGCTCCTTGGTGCTCAGGCCCACAGTCTGGTGACGGTCTACAATGTCAGAGACCTGCAAGAGAGTTCACAGTGGCATCCACCAACAGCTGGAGACAGAAAGGTCTCGGGAGGGAGTCAGCCAAGGCTGGTTAGGAAGCTGTAACAGCCATCCAGGTAAGAAATGGCAGAGGTTTAGACCAAGTGGTCCACAAACCTGCTCATCTTCCTTCACATCCAGAGTCTGACCACAGATGGAGGACCTTTGACTCAGAGTCACACACCCTCATAGGGGAAAGTCAGGGTCAAGCCCACTTGTACTGGTCCCAGAGCCCTGCTCCTGACCACAAAGCCCAATAGAGTTGCCATCCTTTCCCCTCTGGGGTCAGCATCAGCAGCTCCTGCTTGGGTGGACAGACCCCAAGAACAGGAGTGTGGCTGTTCCCACAGCCTACATACAAACCCCTCCCTCTCTCATTTCAAGCTCTCCTGATCCCTGGCCGTGACTATGCTCCTGTCATTTGGGTCCAGCCCAAGTCCCCTGGACTCTTTCATCCTCCTCTCCTAACAGAAGCCTTCCTGATTGAAGCAGAGACCTGGAGTGACCTCCCTTTTCAGTCCCCATACTGGCCCTGCAGCAGCCGCCCTGCCTGGCCCAGAGAACACTGGACTGAACACACAGAAGACAAGGTTATGTGGAGCCCAACCAAGCGGGAAGCTTCCCAACATACCCCATCCCACACTTCCACGTGATGACCCTGACCCAGGACTGACCCTGCCCCCCTGCCCAAGGCGGTAGGATGAAGGCAGCCAGGGTGGACCATGGCTGTGGACACTGGGCATGTGACAAGATTTCAGCAAAGAAGCAGGTTTTTCTCTGCACCCAAAATAGCAAAAAGGAATGCAAATAGCTCTAGACGGCAGAGGAAGTAGGACACCCAGACTGGGGAGTTGGCGCTTCAGGGCCCAGCCAGCTGGACCACCTCAGCAAGTGGCTCCAGAAGTTCCCTTGTCTGGTGCTGAAACCTGAGCTGTGGGCAGCTGCCCCACCAAGAGGAGAAAACCCAGAGAGGGCTGCCTGCGGGGAAGGCTCTGTCCTTCTGGGGTCGGGGTAGGAAAAACTTCAGATAGAGCCAAGGAAGAACTCAAGGAAGGTGAAAATGATGCATATGAAAAGAGGTTTTATTGCATAATCCTTGGATTGTAGACAGGAAGGAAAGGAAGACTTTTACTGGGCATTACTGTGTGTCCACCAAAGCATTAAGCACTTTGAAAGCCAAAGGCAGACAAGAGAAAAGGTGCCCCTCTCTGTGGGTTGGGGGACAGAGATACTCTTTGGCCTGAAAGAAGATGCTCTCTGTGGCTCATAGTGTGAGATTAAGACCTGGACTGGACACCCCACTCCCTCAGCCACCACCTGTGTGACTTCAGAGGAGTAATCAACTCCTCTGAGCCTCAAAGTCCTCATCTGAACAGTGAGGATAAGTACGCCTTCCTCATCAAATGGTAATGAGATCACAAGCATGTCCCCAAAGAGGACATAGCACTGCCACTGGCTCAGAATTCTGAACTAACTGTGGGGAGGGAGGGAAGGAGAGAGGGAGGGAGGGAGGAAGGAAAGACAAATGAGAATTAGTGCACAAGGAAGGAGTGGGAGATGAAATCCTGGACCTGGAGGAGAATCTCAGGCCATTCCTCTGAGGGCTGACAGCAGGAAGCAGAAGAGGGAGCAGTCTGTGGGCTAAAATCCACCTCAGAGTCTATTCCACCAAACCATCCAGAGAGGGTAGGACCCCGAGGCTCTTCAGAGCAGTCAGAGGTGCCTTCCAGAGCCTCATGTCTGCTGTGGGAAAGGGGCTGTGGAAGAAGAAGGCCCCTGGCCAAGCCAAGGCCCCACTTACGGTGACAGTGTCGTAGCCCAGAAAGCCCTGCATGCTGCCTGTGCCGTACTGGATGCTCAGGGGCCGGCCCATGTTCTGGAAGGTGGACGACTTGGTCGGGTTGAAGCGCTGGTGGTTCTCTGGAACACAGAGTCAGGGTGAGAAGAGACCTTGTAGGAATCTTCTCGTCCCTTGGCAGGGCCAGCTTGGGCTGAAACACTCCCCAGACGGGGAACGGACACTTGTCTAAATGTTGACCAAGTGGGGAAAACAACCCGTCCTCTCATCATCTTGTCTAATAAAGAAAGGGGTTCTTTTCTGCTCGACTTGCCTCTCTGATCCCCAGGGTTACAAAAATGAGAAAGGGGAAGTGAGGAGGAAGGAAGGGAGAAAGAGGGAATAAAAACAAATTATGGGAGAAAAGTAAAGAAGAGAAAGGAAGAAGGAAGGAAGCTTTCTACGCACGTATTTCCCTTCCACCAACTGAGTCATCCTAAGTAAGTCCCTTTTCCTATCAGAACCTTCGTTTTCTTGCCTGTAAAATGGAGCAAATGTCCCAGGGATCTGAGGACATAAGTGGTTAATATATATTAAATGCTTACTCCTCATTAGTGATAGACTCTCTTACTTTATTCTCCAGCATCCACTGCTACACCATAGACCCATTTTACAGAAGAGAAAATAAGACCTAGAGGCTAAACAGCTTGCCTTGGTTCCCAGTAGAGAAACACACACACACACACAAAAACAAAAACCAAAAAAAAACAACAAACAAACAAACAAAAAAAAAAAAACAAAAAAGCAAACCCACAACAAAACAGAAAAACCACCTCAAACAAAATTAACATGTCCTAACCTCCGGCTGGAACTTTATCACAATTTGAACACCTAAAGGAGAGATGTGACACAGACGAGGCTGAAAATGTCAAAGTCAACTCTTCTATTCTTCCACACTCTCCCCTCCCAGGTGCTCTGAACACTGGTCAGCCCTGGGGTGTGAGCTGAGCTGGGAGGGGACGGGGAGGGAGGAGGGAGGTCACTTACGGCAGGCATCACTGTTGCAGTAGACAGAGGGCACCCACAGGTCTGAGGATCCTGTATCAAACACCACGGTGAATTCCTGGGGTGGGTTCCCGATGGAGATCTTTCCAAAGTACTGACACTGGGGAGACACAGATGGGTCAGAGCAGGGCTGGGAGGGGAGCTGGAGCTTTGCTGGGTTGGCAGGTCCTATGCCTAGAAGCATCTCAGATAGCGGGTCGAAGGGAGAAAGAAACCTTCTGGAGGGTCCTCTATGCCCAGCCCAGCCCCAACTCTGGGCCTCACCTCCAGCCATCCTTATCCTGACCATCACACAGCCCTACTGGACTCAGCCCCAGGCACACCATCAGACCCAAATGTAAACCTTCATCTGATAGGGAGACTGGGTCAGCTTTGCCAGGGCCAGGAAGAAGGGGGATGCAGAGAGGGGAAGCAGCTAACAATGGAGTCCCAAGTGCCAACCAGAGCTGCCCCTGCCCACACCTTCCTTCTTGCCAGCCCCCCCCCATCCGCTAGGCCAGAGCTAAGACTGGGGGTGCAGTGAAGGTGACCTAGAAAAGGAAATGAGCACAGAAGGGAATAAAACGCTGGTTGTTTACTGCCAAGAGTGACAGATGAGAGAGGTACATTCCAAAAAGAAACAGGGCAGAGTCTGAGTTCCAGCCTGAGTCCCGGGTGGGAGGAAGTTGAAGATGACAGCATGCACCAGACAGATGCAGAATGGGCACTGGACTAAGATGTGGGATCCACTGGACTGTGACAGGCAGGCAGGAGGCAGGAGGCTGGGTCTGGGGGAAGGTAGTGTTCCCCCAGCGATGTGTGCAGGAAGATTATCAGAGTTCAGACCTTCCAGACAAACATTTAGAGAATAGAAGGCAAGGATGGTCCCCTTGCTGGGGCTGCTGGCCCACCACAGGCCCTATCAGGAAACAGAGAGGAGGCTGCCATGCCTCACGGGGTACCTCTGAAAGAGGGAAAGAAACGGGAAGGCTGAGCTGAGGGACTGGGCCCAACAAACACTGAGCAAGGCTGGCCATGCCACTCACATCCAGGTAGTTGGTCAGGGGCTCGCTTGCCACACCCTTGGATTTGGAGTACTTCTTGCTGATGGAGTACTGGTGTTTACGCAAAAACTCATCCAGGAGTCCCTTCTCCTTCAAGGCTTGGCGCATGGACTTCCCCTTGTGCAGGGGGATCCTAAGGAAGTGAGGCAGGATCCATGAGGAATGAGGGACATCTTCCACAGACTACCCAGCCTCTCAAAAGTGCTCAGAGACTCTAGACCCTATAAACTGTTCCCCACCCTGCTTTTACCAGCCCTGCTTCCCGGTCAACCTTCCATTGATCTCAAGCAAATGGTTTTCACTTTTTTAACCACAACACAAAGGGAAAACTCTATTTTCTATTACTTCATTAATCAGTGTCCACTTTCATTAAATGTGATACATTCATGGCTTCTATTCGTTTGTTGTTGGGGTTGGTTTTTTTCCATGTAAGTAGAGACACACCAGATGTATCTCATAACACAGTCATGAGGTTTGCAGTTTTATTTTACCTGGTAGAGTACTGGTTTGCATGTTGGTTTGCTAGCTAAAAGGTCAGTGGTTTGAATACACCAGTTAAGCCATTGAAAGATGAGGCAGTCTCTCCTTCTTTTAAGATCTACATACAGATGTGGAAACTTGATGAAGGACAGCTAGCCATGAGTCAGAATCAATTCATTGACAGCAGACCCAAACCCATTGTCATCAAGTCTATTAAAAATCATAATAACCTTCCATTGGGTTTCCAAGGCTGAATATTTGAAAACTGCCTATCTTGCTAGGAGCAACTGGTGAATTTGAACCACTGATGCTTAGGTTTCTACCAGAACATATAATGCACTACACCACCAGAGCTCCTTGAATCAATAGTAGTGGATATTTTTATTATTATTTTACTAGTTTATTTACAAAATTCAAATATTTTGCTTTCTAGAACAGATTCTTCCAATTTCCCTCACCCCCACTCCATCAAATTATCCAACTCCATAATTAATCCTCTCCTCCCCTGCACATCCTCATCCCTCTGCTTCCATCCTTCCCCACCCCCCTTGGATACTTATACTCATTCTACAGTAATGGTTTTTGATAGTATTTGTCCTTGTGGGACTGAGTTAGTTCACTCAGCATAATGCTCTCTAGTCCTTTTCAAGTTAGGTAATACTTTACAAAATCATTGCTCCTGCATGCTGCATAGCATTCCATTGTGTGAATGTTCCGTAATTTCTCAATCCATTCCAATGTGGTTGGACATCTGGCATGTTTCCATGTTCTTTGATGGTGAATCATGCTGCCATGAACATTGGTGTACAAGTTTTCATTTGAGTCTCAGTTCTCATTTTCTCAGGTATATTCCAAGTAGTGGACTAGCTGGGTCATATGGAATTTCTATGTTCAGCTTTATGAGGAAGCGACAAACTGGCTTCCAGAGTGGTTGTACCATTGTACAATCCCAACAATGTTTAAGAGTTCCTTTCTCATCAATAGTGGTGGAGTTCAACAAGTTTTGCAAACTGCCATCTGAAAGATACTATCCTCATTATCAATAACTCAGTCAGCAAATTCTTGCTGTGCACCTACTATGTGCCAGATGCTGAGCAAGGCACAGCAGGCACAACAGTGAACAAGTTGGCCAACTCTTGCCGTCTCCGGAGAGGAAAACTGTGTCTCCCATACCCTTTGTTGTTGCTGGATGGCATCAAGTAGACTGCAACTCATAGCAATCCTGTGAACGACAGAGCTGAGCCTCATCCCGCACTGTCGTCACAATCTCTGCCATGCTCAAGCCCATTGCTACAGTCGCTGTCAATCCATCTGATTGAGGGTCTGCTTCTCTTTCACTAACTTCTACCTTTACCAGCATGATGTCTTTTTTTCCAAAGACTAACCTTCTCAACAACATGAACTTAGTCTGTGAGACTAAGTTTCACCAACCTTGCCTCTAAGGAGTACTCTGGCTGCACTCTTCCACGACAAATTTGTTTGTTCTGTTTTGGATGTCCACAGTATATTTAATACTCTTTTCCAATATGGAAGTTCAAAGGCATCAATTCTTCCCATACACTAGTAGATGTCAATCTGTTACCATCGTCTCCTTTACTAATGCCTGTCTCAACTCTCTGGACAGCTTTTCTTTTATTATTTTGTGTGCGTGTACCATCAAATCAGATCTGACTAGTACAGGAGGATATTGCTCCTCCTTCTCCGGCAGAGCATCTGGTGGATTCGAACCGTGTACCTCTGGGATTGCAGTGCAGCTTCTTGCCACTAGGCCACCAGAGCTCCCCACAGCTTTTTTTTTTAAAGAATAGTAATTCTTCTAAGCATTTTGCAGGGTCTGATGTGCAGGAACTTTTTGACTGCACTGAGGTGATGGATGATGGAGGCAGATGACCAAGAAGAGAGTAAGAGGGAACACAGTAAAACCTGGTTCTAGACCCAGCCCTGCCTGTGGCACCATGTTTGCCTCCCCAAGTCCCCTGAATCTCAGTCTCCGTAAAATGAACTAACTCATTCCTTCTAGTCACTCTCCTGGCACCACTTTGACTGACCTAATCCAATCCCCTAGCCTCATCTCCCATAGACTGCAGTAAAGGGAATTTTAAATTCCAGCTCTAAGAACTGTAGAATCTTTCTGTGTGAGGCTGCTTTCAGGATGAGATAAAGCTACAAATGGGAAGGTGTTTCAGGACAATAAAGTGGGTTTTTCCTCATGTTGCTCATATTCCAGATGGATTCCACATGAAACAGAAGAACGATCTCTTCTCTGGGTTCTCCACCCACAGTCCTCATATGTAGCTTCAGCCAGAACCTAATTGATGAATTAAAAAAACTTAGATGTTTCTCAGCCTTTGTCTTCAAAGACATGAAAGGAATTGGTCACCTAGATTGGAGGAGGCTGCACTGAACTCCTGGAGCTAAGTCCACAGCTGCTGTTTCAGGTGTCTTCACATTCTGGCCCCACATTCAGAGATGTTCTCTGCTTGGCTCCATCTCCCATCCATGGGTGGATCTGAGAGTGCCTGGTGGTCCCACAGCTAGTAGCCAAGAGTCGGCTGTGCAGTACTGTTTGGCACAAAACCTCAGAGAGTCTCTCACTGAGAGGAGCTGTCAGCATCTGGAAGACAGTCCTTCACCCCATGCTGAGAAGCACGAGGGCTGCTATGCATGGAGATTCCACTGCAGAACTGCCTGACACCAACAGGCACAGAAAACTCTGCTCCAGAACCCAGCTCAGACTTAGACAATCCCATTATCAGGACCATCACAGGGATGAGCAGTCAAAGACACCCTAAAACCTTTTCAGGAAGCAAGCTTACCCAAGGAAGGGGTCAAGTTTCCCTGCACTTTGGACTTAGCTTGTCAGGGCTCAGACACAGGCACTTAGAAGTACAATGATGTCAAGTAAGAATGCCAAGTCCACCTAGGACCAAGTCCCTGATCCTCTCTTATGAGTCCTGTGAACTTACCCATATAAGGTGGCCCTCTGAACAAATTTCTTTGATTATGAAATACAAATAGTATTATCGACCCAAGAGTAGAGAGCTCGAGCCTTGATAATTGGTGATAGTGCAGTTTAAGTGCTTGGCACCTGGTAGCAAATGTTGACTCATATAATCCTCATAACAATGCTATAAGATGGTTAAAAAAAAAAAGGAATTGTGTACCTCAAAAAGATATTTGAGACCTAACTCCTGTTATGTGTAAATATGACCTTATTTGAAAATAAGGTCATTGATGATATAATTAGTGAAGATGAGATTATTTGTTGTTGTTGTTGTTAAGTGCCGTCAAGTCATATATGACACATAGTTACCCTACGAACCTGAACACTTCTATAACTGTCATCATTTCTCCAAGTTCATAGAGTTTCTGGAGGCAAGCTATTCCAGAATCGGACATCACTCCTGCTTCCAAGCTTGTTTTAATCGGGGAGCCCCACCAAACACTGTCTACCATGGGTAACCATTATGGTTTTTGACACATCAGTGTCACAGTGTTTAGCATCATAGCAACCACGAATTATTAGAGCGGCCAATATCTTTACAGCTGATGTCTTTATAAGAAGAAGAGAGACATAGAAGGCAGACTCTCATGTGAAGACAAAGGCAGAGATCAGAGTGATGATGCCACGAGCCAAGGAATGCCTGGGGCTGCCAGAGGTTTAAAGAGACAAGCAAAGGTCTCTGAGAGCCTTCAGAGGAAACACTAACAGCCTGCTTTAGGACTTTTGACTTAGAAAAGTGGCAATCAGAGGAAGACCTTCAACTAAATGGATTAACACAGTGACTGCAACGATGGGTTTGAGCACCAAAGAGATCATGATGATGGACAAGGTTTAGATCGTGGTTTATAAGGTTGCTTTGAGTCAGGGCAGAGACTCAGCATCTAACAACATCTTCCAGGGCTATGACAGAATAGGTTTACATTGTCTGAGGCAGTAACCTACTTGCTATGGGTCACCTCCAACACATGGTGACACTATATGTGCCAGTGGCCACACTGTGCTCCATCGAGTTTTACTGGCTGATCTTTAGGAAGAACATTCTCATGCCTTTCTTTTGAGGTGCCTCTGGGTGGACTCTACCCTCCAATGTTTAGGTTATCAGCTGAGTAAATTACTGTTTGCATCACTCAGGGGATCCTGAAAACATGTTGTTTATGATAATTTATTACAATGACCATAGAAAAGCAGTACAGATGGATACAATTTTCACCTTAATTTTCTGACTCCAGAAACCCTTATGCCCTTTTTCTTACCAGGGAGCTCTGATGGCGTTATCCACAGGAAGTTGTTCTGGTACCCCAACTGTAGCACCATTCTGATGGCTCAGATCTACCAATGACATGGGCAATCTCTTCTCGGGCAATGTACAACCTCAGAAACCCAGTGGAGAACCATTGCGTTGATTAGAACACCAATGGCAATGAATTGGAATTTGAGTTTTATCTCCCCCAAGTCACTCATCTGAGTGCCTGGTCTTTTCAGCACACCTGAAGTCCAAAAGCACACTTACAGGAAAAGATCCTACTGTGCAAGACACATGATAACAGGGGGTGACTGTCCTGGGAACTTGCAACGTTATTCCAAAGACTCTCCACGGCAGCTGAGGGATGGAGGGCCAGGAAGAGCCCATCCAGAGAGGTCACAGGAGATATCCTCCCTCCAGACCCAGGGTCAGACACTCACCTGCTTAACTGATTGCCTTGGCAGAATGTAAAAACTGCAAGGAACACCACGAGCCACTTCATCCTGGCTACTGGCTGGCCACTGCCTTAGCCTGTGCCTGTGTCCACAGCCTTTATAGAGGGAACAGGGTTCCCACTGGCTCAAAGCCTGGCCTACAGCGATAGCCTCTGACTTCAGACCTTTCTACAAGCACACTGAGATAACATCAGGCTATCTAACACCCACAATGATAAGACTCACAAATCCTATCACCCAGTTACTTCAAAGTTGAAACATACAGATGCTTGATTTCCAGGTGAGGAATGTCAACAAAGGTCTCTCTAATTAGTTTTACTTTTCCAAACAAGACTTCTTGAGCCAAGAACAGGTGGGCTGCTGCCAAATGACTGACCCGTGTTCCACATTACGGTCTGTAAATAAGTCTATTCTTACCAGACCTCACCCCCCTCTGCCGTCCCCTGCACTGTCAGCCACCCCTTCCTGGGCCTCACTGCACTGAAAGCAAGTGGCCTACCCTTCTCCAAGAATCTCCCACCTCAGTCCTCGCAGCCCCAGCTTTCTAGGGGGGGACTCAGTTTTACTCTAAGTGCAGCCTCTGAAGCACAAAGTGTTCAATCTGTCACTCCAGGGATGTCTCTCAGACAGGGAGTGAGACTCCTTGGGCACGGAGTAAGAACCATGGGAAATAGTAGGTGCTACAAGGCATCATCTACAAAGAAAGGCTCATGCATCCCCCAAAGCCATGGGCACTTACTCCATATTAGAACATAAGGGGAAGCATGAACACACTTTCATAATTGAGAGAACTGGGGAGGGCTGAGCCTAGAAGGTGGATGTGTGTCACATGCAGAGGCAAGATAGAAGCAAGGCAGTCACATTTAGGTAACAAGTTAGGTCAACACTCAGGATCTGAGTCCTGCTCAAGGATCCGGGGGAATTTTTCCAGAACATCACAGAGAGAAGGTCACAGAATCCAGGCTGGAAGGCTGGGCATTAGAGCAAGAAGGAAAATGGATTATCACCACAAGAGCAGCAGACAGTCAGGTCCCAGGTGAGACAAAGTTGTAAATTGGAAAAGCAGGATTGAGTCTGGATGATGGCATGGTATGGATAAACGAAGGGGCTTTGGGACCACTGCGGGAGGGAGGCCTGGGTGTGTGGGGGAACAAGAAAGCCATCTACCTGGGTGGAAGAGAGGGCGACTGAGGAAGGGAGCCCCTGTGGGTTCCAGCACAGCTGACCCCTCTGAAGTGGGCAGGAGCAGAAGTTTAACATTTATGTACAATGACCTCATTGAGGAGCCTTGACAAGACGGCAAATCACAACCTTTTTTTTTTAATGTTATAAAGATAGCCTGCAGTCCTATGTGGTTCCAATGATCAATTCACTCTACTACTATTAGAAAGCTTCAGATTAAAGTTCACTTGCAGGTTCCTCTGAAGAAAAATTTGAAGATCTTCCAGAAAATTGTTGTTGTTGTTATGTGCCGTCGAGTTGCTTGCGACTCATAGTGACCCTATATACAACAGCCCTAAACTCTGCTCTGTCCTGTGCCAATCACACTGTCTCTGACACTCCCAATCCCGATTACCCCAGTCACTGAATCAATCCACCTCATAGAGGGCCTTCCCCTCCTGTGTTGTCCCTCCACCCTCCCAAGCATGATGTCCCTCTCCAGGAACCAGTCCCTCCTTACAACATGCCCAAATTATGTCAGACAAAGCCTCAGAATCCTTGCCTCCAAGGAGCAGCCTGGTTTAACCCTCTCCAGGATGAAACTATTTTCCTAGCAGTCCATGGTACTCTCAATACTCTTCTCCAGCACCACAGCTCAAAGGCATCAATTCTTCTTCTATGCTCCTTAGTTCCTGTCCAACTCTCTGATGCATTACAAGTGATAGCAAAGACCATGGTCTGTATCAGATGCACCTTAGTCTCCAGAGTGACATCATTGCTCTTGAGTACTTTAGATAGGTCCCTAACAGCAGACTTTCCCATTGCAATATGCCTTTTAATTTCCTGGCTGCTGGTGCCAAGAGTGTTGACTGTGGAGCCAAGCAAACTTATGCTGTGAACAATGTCAATATCTTCACCATCCATCCTGATGCTGCCAATTGGTCCAGTGGTGAGAATCTTTGTCTTCCTCACATTGAGCCTCAATACATATTGAAGGCTGCAGTCCTTGACCTCTGCAGCAAGTGCATGAGGTCCTCCTCAGTTTCAGCAAGCAGGGCTGTGTCATCTGCATAACACAGATTGTTGATAGATCATCCACCAATCTTGACCCCACGTTTCTCCTCATAGAGCCCAGCCTCCCAGATAAACTGTTCTGCATACAGGTTGAAAAAGTATGGAGACAGGACAGACACATCCCTGGCATACAGCCTTCCCAATTTTGAACCATGCAGTGTTTCCTTGCTCTGTTCTGATGACTGCCTCTTGGTCCAAGCATAGGTTTCGCATTAGCACGATCACGTGTTCTGGGATTCCCATTCTTCTCAGAGTCAGCCACAGTTTGTTATGATCCACACAGTCAAACAGTCTAAAGTGGCTGATAGATAGGAAGATAACTGATAGATAGGGAGATTTAACCACATTGTGGGGAGATTAAGTCTCCCTCTCCACACTCGTTCTCAAAGCTGGGATTCCAGAAGACTGGTTACCACTCAGCACAACAAGCTCTCTTAGCACTGTCTCCAATTCTAAGGAATCAGAGAAAAAAGCTTCTACTAAATGGAGCCGCTTGTTCTGTTTTCTTTCCTGTTGACATTGTCCCGTCAGTCCAGGTTCTGTAGAGCAAAGAGGGAGAAAATGATGAAAACTTCTCAGCCATAGACAAACACCTTGAAAGAGTGAGTCTCTGGCCTGGCAGCAAAAGACCACAGGCTAGAGGGACATCAGGGTCAATACATATAACGTAGTCTACAAAGACAGTGTTCTCCATTCTACTTTGGTAAGTAGTGCGTGGGATTTTTCCACAACATAAACAAGTCTTCCAAGCATCCTAGAAAACCTACAACCAGATGAATGGGACCTTATAAGAATTAAATCGCTATGCGCATACAAAAACTTCTCCAAGAGGGTAAAAAGGGAAGCCACAGATTGGGAAAAAATATTTGATAATGACATGTTTGACAAGGGACTTAAATCTAGAATTTATAAAATACTCAAGTTCCACAACAAGAGAAAAGTAAATAACCCAGTTGAAAAATGGGCACAGGATATGAACAGACATTTCACCAAAGGAGACATTGAGATGGCAAACAAATGCATGAAGAAAATCTCTAGCTCTAAGAGAGATGCAAATCAAAACAACTATGAGGTATCATCTCACCCCAGTAAGAACAGCAAAATTTAGTTGGACAGCAAACATCAAATGCTGGCAAGCTTGTAGAGACTGGAGCCCTTATTCACTGTTGGTGGCAGTGTAAAATGGTGCAACCACTGTGAAAGGCGGTACGGCACTTTCTCCAAAAGTTGCAAATAGAAAAAAAAAACCCTTTGACCCAGCAGTTCCTTTACTGGGAATTTACCCTAAAGAAACCATAGCTGCCATCCAAGCAGACATATGCACACCCATGTTTATTGCGGTTTTTTTCGCAATAGCAAAGAGCTGGAAACAACCTAAGTGCCCATCAACAAATGAATGCATAGAGAAGCTCTGGTATATTTACACAATGGAACACTATTCAGCATTGAGAAACAAAGAACTCATGAAATATACAAAATGGGTGACTCTGAAGGACATTATGCTGAGTGGAAATATCCCAGTCACAAAAGGACAAATATTTGCATAGTGCCACTGTTGTAAAACGGGACTGACATCAGGGCTGAAGGAAGACAGAAAAGGAGGGGGGAAATGATGTATATTGCATTGAAACAGATGAGGGAGAGAACTGCTTAAAAGGGATATATGAATAGTATTCTTGTCACTACAGAAGTCCAGAGTGAAGGCTGCATAGTGGAGTAGACTTGGGGGAGGGATTGCATAACAATGAAAGAGTTTTTCTTTTTCTTTTCAAGGAGAAGAGTGAATTGGGGGGCAGGGAGAAAAGTGCAATAATGAATGACTGGCAACCCTAAGTCTCTGTAAACTTTCATTAAAATTAATAGGAAAAAAGAAAAACTTTGTAGTGGTCAATTAAGGTGCAATTATTGGTCTCTTTCCAATGATCTCTGTGTCACAAAACATATGGATGAATTTTGAGAAAATTGGAAAATGAATTTGTTCTATACACATTCACTGAAATAACAAAGATTTGGGGGAAACTGAGAAGTTAAAGAACTTGTTTGTAATGAAGGCAGCGCCTGAAATGGTCACAAGGTTCTTGATCTAATGCCGTGCCCATGACACCGCAGAATGCTGGGGAACTCTCATCAAATTGCAGTTATGTCTGGGAACAGGTTCGTGTCTCACTCATTCAACCTCCATCCATCCTTCAGGACAGTGGGCCCCACAAGCAGCATCTAAGATGGAAAAGAAATGGGAAGGGAAGTAGATTACAGCCCTGCTCCACGTCACCAGTGGTCGAGCCGGATCCAACTGCAAACACTCTCGGACAATGACTCTTGGAAGTCGACTCAGCTATCTCTCCCACTGGAAGGTGACCTTCAGAGCAGGGGATCAAAGCTCCTTTTGCACTGGTTGCTCTGTGTTTATTCACAAGATTGGGATCATTCTACAGCACTCAAGTACGACGCTATCAGGAGCGCTGCCCCAGCACAGAGAGTGTGAGACAAGCTTATCCATGGAGGCCAAGCCAAGAACTCAAAAAGCTTTTAGAAAAGCCATGATAAGATTTCAATGTTGGCTCCCTGGCGCAGAGTTGGGGGACTCCCCTTGGGCAGTCTAGACTCCTGGTGTCTGGGGTCTGACCTACAAAAATGACTGACTGAAGCAAAAGCAGGGCGAAGGGATACCTTTCCCTCAGCATCCAGCTTGTGATCTCCATTCTGAAATGAAAAGCAGCGAAGTCAACTCAATTCTGTTTGTCGAGCATCTGCTATGTGCTCACACTGGATGCACGAAGATGCACCTCATACCTTCTCCATGTAGGGACCC